GAAGCAGCAGAGAGCTCTCAAACCAATTGGCAGCAAGCCATCTGCTAAGCAACCACAACTACGTCAAAGGTATCTAAAAATATATCAGTTGGTTTGGGAACATAATGCTCTCACTCCAATAAAAAGACACTTTGAATACTATCAAAAACATGTTTCAGAGTATTTGGATTTATTCATATAGCAGTGAGATAGAAATGTTCTCATTGGCGTTGTTACTGAATGCTGAAAAGTGGTAGTTCAAAATAATTATTTAATTGTTAATGCCACTTCTGTCAGGAGCAGAAACTTCATTTCTTCAAGTCCCATTCTCTCTTTCCCTGGTTCCCCCCCAGTCTGACAGCTGTACAGAATTCTGTTTTCCATTTTCCTCCTTACGAGTTTTCCCCTCATGCCCCTGGTACCTTGTGCAGCCTTATTTCCATCCTACTCACTTCATTCCCTAGCCCTCACTGTGCTCTGTAGAGGAGAAGGTGCCAGTGCCGTGGCTCCGTGCAGCAGGCAAGGGCTGACTGGTGGTGAGGCTACCAACAACTCTGTTGCAGTATTTTCTTTTACAGATTTCTGAGTTTCATGTCAAACAGGGAAAAGTCATGAATTGTTACATGTTTGAAAACCATCAGATATTGTGACTTGAAACAATATCTATTGGTGAGTCTGTCACACCCTGAAAACATCTGATTACGTTTACATTAGAATGCTTCAGTTTTGTCCATTACTGTAACATATATATTATTTTTTCTGTTAATACGCTCAGGACATTTCTTGCCCAGTCATCCTCTAATCCTATCAAGTGACTGAAGAAAACTGAGTTGTGCTATAAGGTCTTGGCTTCAATAAGCTAGGTGCTTACCTGATGATTTTCTTTATAAGTATCATTAAAGGCATTTGAAATTGCCCATGAAGCAGTTTTTACGATCTTAACTCAACCTTGCTATAGTATTGGTAAAACATAGAAGAACTGGGTCACTGTTAAACAGGCTGCCTGTGTGCATTGGTGCCAGGCTGTAACTCCCCAGTGGGATTCAGGCAGTGTGGACTTTCTGCATCTCTCTTCCACACTTCCTTCTGTCTTGAAAGATGTTTTAGAAAACTTGTCCAACAGCACTTCAGTATACTTTTAGGTGAAACTAATAGATAACTTACAGATAGATACAAACTATCTGTAAATCACTGTAGCATCCTTAATTTCTTTCATAGTTTCATGTATGGCCAGAATGGGCGTCCTGGTGTGATGTTGAGTCCATCTTCTGTATGCCACACGTTTAAATAAAGCTATTTAAATAAAGCTTGTTGAAGGACATCCCTAGAGCAGATGTCACTGTAAAAGGTGTTTACTTAGCAGCAGCCATTTTGGTTACATCTGTCCAGTTAGACTGTAGGAAGCATTCCCCTGTCTGTAGCAGTCTGCCTGCAGAAATGAATGCAAGCATACATATTTTGAAACAAGTATTTTTAGAAACTTGTGTTGGGGGCTGTACTGCTACTTGGACTTTCTGCCCTTTCAGATTTTGCTACTGCAAAATGTTTATACATTTTTAATAATCACATTGGCTGCTAGCAGTGACATTTTGTGAAGGTCATTTTTCTTGTGAAGTTAGAGAGTGGACTTGAATTTCATTGAAGGACTCCCGGAGCTGCAGGGTCATTGTTTGTGGAACTCTTTTGCATCTTGTACTACCTTTGAAGCCTATTTAGAATTTTAACTAATGATATCTTCAAAGTGTCACTGTGCTCAAGGGCAGAAAAGAAATCTCAAAATGCACTTTATATTTAAAACTAGTTTTGAATATCTTTGAAGCATGGCATTAGCTGAAAATAAAAGGCATAGTATATACTTACTGTGTATGCACACACAGAGACTTCCGTGTTTCACCAAGTTTTTCATTGTCAGCAAAATGTCCCTGCTGCACTGCAGAACATCGTTCTTCAGAATTTTTAATGTGTAATTGCTAATTTAATACCTCAGCGGGTACCTTTTGGCATTCTTCCTCAATGCAGATATTTTAATTTTGCCCTTATCATTGAGTGGATTTGCTGGAAATCATAGACTGTCCTATTAGCTACTGAATTGAAACTGGGTCAAACTGGATCAAACTGAACTGAAATCAAACGATTTTGTATAAACCAAGGTTCCTGTTTCCCACAGTAGCACATACCAAGTTTGCTTTTTGGTAAAATACCTGATGATTTACTTGGTAGTTGTGTCTGATGCCTTCTGATACTGACACATTTCTCTAAAACACATTAAATGTTAGTGGTAATATTTGAGAAGGGCCAGTGGAATACTTGCACTGGTTTTTTGTTTTCGTTTTTCTGATACATGTGTTTCTTCCTGTCAAGTGTTCTTGCTGTGTGACTACTGGCATGGGTGTCCGACCTTTTGGCTTTCCTGGGCCACACTGGATGAAGAGGAATTGTTTTAGGTTGCACAGATATCGGTTGCTCTGAAAGTAATGCCTCCTATTTATTTTCGTGGAAACTACAGCAGATACAAAGAGCACAACAACACTGTTTAATAAAGCTCATTCTCAGCTACATAACGCTATTTTTCAATGGGGTCATTACCCTTAGCTATGCATTTGTGAACAAGGGCCTGCGTGTTCTGCTTCTCAAAATCTGCAACAACGGAAGTGACCCACTGTTAGGGTCATCACTGCTGAAATGCACCACCCAGCGCTGCACTGTGCTCACATCCACTGTTTGGTCTCCATAAACATTCAGCAAGCATCAATGAATGCCAGTGAGTGCAATTTTTTTCCCCATGGAGGAATTAAGGGCCACATCTTTGCTTCATAGCACTTTCATGTCAGATGCCATGTTGTCAGATTGCCCATCTGCTGCCATCTGTAACACAGCAACAGAATGTAATGGAATATTGGTGGGAAGTTTCAATCTCTACTGCCATACTACCAACATCTACCTCTGACATTGTAGGCTGACATCATAAAATAGAAGGCATTATTTTCATGGTTTCCTTCATAAATATAATATAGTTCCTCTGTATAAGTAACAATTTTTTTATACTCTTTAGTATTTTTTTATTCAAATCAAAGAAGAAAAGCATAAATCTAGTAGGATATTTGATTGTGATTTTGTGAAACAAATGCATCAAATTTGCAACAAATGCAACAAATGTTCTATGGAAGTGGCTGCAATTCTTACTGAGTTCTCAAGATCTCGTCAGAGATTTTTATGAAATTTTCTCCTCCTGTCCTTCATCCTTGAGAACAGTTGTTCACTAATGTACATACAGTCAAAAGTGATGACATGAATAAGGTGTGACTGTGAAGGGAGGGATTTTTTTCTCTGATAATATAGGGTTCATAATAAACACAATCACATTTTTCTTTGAGTTGCATATGTGATCTCAACTCAATATGTTCCATTTGAAAATTTGCAGGTAACTTATTTATGGCAATTGAAAACAGAATTACAAATATGCAAAACAAAAAAAACTTTTTTTTTCAGCGCTCTTAAAGCCTATTAAATTTCTTTATCAAAATATTAAACACAGCTGCATATTTTTTTTTGCTGTTCACAGGACTGTGGTTAACCAGTGTATCAAAATGCATAGATTTATTTCGCATAACTTGAATTAGCACTTCACTGTGCCCTCCTTGTGCCCTGATTTTAGCTCAGACAGAGTTAATAGCACACTGATGGCTTGACTGTTGTGAGCAATGGGTATGCACCCAGTACTGGGCAGTGCAGGGCAGGGTGACCAAAACTGAACCATGGCTTGGACATGCCTGGATTACTGGATCCTTCTCATAGGAATGCTATTGAAAAAACTTTTAAGCTGTGTTTTCCTTCTTTATGGCATGGTTTTGTAAACTGGGACCTTATAAAAGTATTAAGAACTGAGTTGTAATGTAATCTTTCCCACAAAATCATTTGTCTGGATTTCTTCCATTATATTCTTTAGTGTATCAAACCGCTGAGAATATTTAGCTTATTCAGTGTATCCTCACATTTGAGACATTGCTTTTCGGTCTTGGTAGCTGTGCCATTAAAGCACAGTACTTTGACTGGATGTTTTACAGTGGATTTCATAGTTTTAAGAGCATTGCAAATGTTTTAGTTGTGACAAGCAATGTAGAATCTTGAATCATAACGGGAATCAAGGTGTTCCAATGAAAAGCAACCACTGTGAGAGAAATGGAAGGAGGGTAGGATTGTAACCTTCCTTTGAGGTGTTTTGCCCAAAAACAAGTCGGAGGCTCGGAAACCAGAGCAAGTTGGGCATTTAAGAAAGTTTGTGTTAGGAAAGACAGAAGTTTGTGAATATTCCTGGAAAATCATTTCACAGCCGATACCCTGTATAACAAAAGGACTTAACACAGAAGTATTTTCAGACTCTGCTTCCAGGCTTCTCAGTGCCCACAGCATAGAAACTGCTTGTGAATAAAAGCTACCAGCTTGTTTGGAATCGCTGTTTTGATGACATGATCAAATGGGAAGGCGTCAGCCTCTGGCCATTATCATTTTACCATTTTACTGTTTTCTTGCTTTCCTGCTACATGGGTTTCCCTTTGCAATTTTTTTGTTTTGTTTTCTGCACAGTCCTATTTGCCCTTCTTAAACCTTGGGAAATCTTACTTGGAAAATGTGACAGATTGGGGAGAAAGAACAAATCATTATATACAGTCTACTCTTTGCTTATTCACAAATATTCTTTCCTTTCTGCTAGAGGGAGTTGTTGTTTATGTGGTCTTCATTAGTATTTCCTCCATATATAGAGTCTTGACTTTTAAAATTTTCTGTAGTGTCCTCACAATAAATACAGCTAACAGTGCTTCTTCTCACCCCCTTGTCTTTCCCTATTTTACATAACCAAGAGAAAATCCTTCAACATATTCCAGTGCTGAGAGTTTATCAAGGACATCTTTTGGCTCTGAAGCAAACAAAAAAAGATTTTCCTACCCAAATTTAAGTTTATTTAACATTTTTCTAGTCCTTGTTATTTTTCACTCACTTTGCTATTTAATCTTTGGTTGCAGGCCACTAAAGAAGTAATAGAGCGAGAAGCCCCGGGGATGGCCCTTGCAATGCTGATGGGATCACTTAATGTAACTCCTCTGGGCATGCTCTCTAGGTAAGACTATTTCCTTCAGAATATGAAGCAAACTATTTCCTTAGAAATATACAAAATAGTGGGATGGGATGACTATGTAAAAATAATTGAAGATTGCTGATGGTATCAGGACTAGAAGTCTTAACTGTGGAGAAGTGGTCAAATTCCAACAATGGTAATTGCATTCTTTTATTTAACTCCCTCTGTAGTCTCTCTTAAACACAGCATCTTTATTTTCTGTGCTAAGCTATTTGTAATGTTGATGCATGCTGTCTTTTCACCCTAGAGCTGTGACATTTCAGTGGGAGTGAAGAATTCTTCTGTATGTTGTTCATCAAGTACTAAAATGCAAAAAAGAAAACAAACAAACAAAAGAACTTGATAAATATAAATGTGTTATTTTTCCTTTTATTCTAGTATCAGCAGAAGTTCTCTGGATACGCTTTCAGATTCAATACATTAAATTCTAGATTTTTAGTGTTTCATGTTGAATAGTTAGCAACAGATATTCCCCGTGTTCCTGCTTATCAGTGACACCTCTTGTTACCCCGTATTTCATTCAGGAGTTGAATTATGGATCATTTCCTATGATAGATTTATTAATATCAACATGTGTTTTGTGATTTAGTTTGTGCTTGTATGTCATTTCAAGGTAAGGGGCTGTTAGAGTTTTTTTTTCTTCTCATTGCGTAATAAGATCATAACAATAATTACAACAGTAATATATAAAGGAGACACTTTCAAATCTCTCTAAACCTCCCTATTCAGATGATTTGATTTTTAAAGGACATTTAGATGAGAATTTTACAAATTCAGCAAAGTATTTGAAAACTTTACATATCATTTTGTGTATCTCAAATGATAGCATTACCAAGGTAATATTTTCAGATTCCATCAAAACTAGCAAGCATTTTCATTTTGTCATCTGACATAATTTTTATGTCATATTTTATGTATTTTGAAATTCAAGTATAGCAAAGCTATATCAAAGAGAGGAACAGTTAATTCAGCTGTTCTGTTTCTGATGACGAAAAAGATGTGCAATTAGATGACTCTGAATAACCAAGCTTGATTTAGGATGTGATGTGATCAGGATAGCTGAAAGGATGTTTTAATGGTAGTGGAACCAAAATGCTGGACTGCAATCTGTCTTCTGTACATACAGCAAGAACATGTTCCTTAGCCTCAAGCTCAAAATAGTCATTGAAGACAATGGTGGAACATAACTCCTCTGTGAATCTATAATGAAAATGTTATGTCAAGATACCTCATGCAATCATGTTAAAACTGTAAAAAATTTCCAATTTTTTGGAAAACCTTTACTTCAGGTCTAAATGTAATTGGCCTACAAAGGGTCAGTATCTTCATAGCGCTAGTCAGATCATAATATCAAGTTAAGCATATGTGCTGTGAAGGAGTTTTTTAGTGAATTCTTCTATCCCAAGCTTGAATGTCGTTGACTTAATTTTAAAATGGAGCTCTTACAGCTACTTATGCATGTAATTTACCAAAAAAAGAAAAAATGCAGAACTTCATTTTGCAAAATTAAGGTGACACGACACTTTTGTAAATCACATGCTGTTTTGAAAATGTTGGATCACTTGAACACTTGTTGGAATTTTGTCACTTGAACTTTTAGAAGTGAAGTTATTGGCTCTCTTCCTGACCATGGGACCAGCATTAGAAAGTGGTGGATTATTTTGTAAACTACGTTCACAGATACTTATGACAGATGAAAAGCCTCTGAGATGCACATAATGGGAGTCCAACTCTGAGGTCCAGCAGGGAGTGTGTTGGATCACAGACCTTTCAGTGTTCCCTGTTTCTCTGTAACCTTCCATCTGTTCTTGTCCCAGAAGTATCTTATTCCTTACCCAAGCCGTTCCAGTCCTTACTGAGGCTTTATAAAGTACTCCCTGCCTTTTTTGCACATTTATTCTGCTTTTACAATCGTAATTTATTCCCAGAAAGGTATTCCTCTCTTCCACTTCTGCACTGGATCTATATTGTCTTCCAACATCTGTTTTTTCTGTCTCTTTTATTCTGTTTTTCCTTCAACTCCCTTGATTGTATTCCTTTTTTCTCCTCAACTTCTCTGTATTTTTTTTTAAATTTCTATGCGATGCATCAAAAGGCTGTGGATAATGTAAAATGTATGGCATCTACCAGTTCCCCATTTTGAGGCAGATCATTAACTTCTCTCTCAAATTACCTTGAATGCATGTACATGTGTGCTTTTGTTGTGAACATGCACTATTTTTTGCAAACCATTCAGTTCTTAAATATTTAAGCCTACTTTTAGAATCACAGAATGTAACATTTTACATGCTCTCATGAGAAATTTTTGGCAATCCCATTTCTGTCTTGAGCCATTACATATCTTTGTAATTCTTCGCTGGAAATTTCCTGGAGTTTCCCTTAATTTTAATGTCTTAAACTGCAGCTTGATTACCAAAACAATAGTAAATGAGCATTTTTCTTTAACTCAAGCTCTTCACTTCATATGTCATTGAATGTTAGTCAGCTACCTGGAGTTTTTAGGGCACGTAATGTTTAAGAAGTGAGCGGAGGAAGATGGGGACTTGGAGTCAGGCAGAAAATAAGACTTCTCTTTTGGTCGGTTTGACTAGAATATCAGAGGTTAATCTTGTGGCACAATAACTGTCTCTGTAGTATTTAACTGTGAGTGTTAGGACAGCTGTCACTAGAATACTTGTTACTTTGCTTGAAAATGCCATGCTACCACTAAATGAAAGTAACTACTGGGAATTATTTATCTAAGAGAAAATCCAAGGAAGTCAGCTGTTTAAGAATTTGGTAATATCCTGTCAATGTACATATTTTTTCCTGTCTTCACTTTGGTTCATGTTCTTTGAAAAAGAGACTGTTACACAGTTTCTCTCCATGCAGCTTCCATATTGTGGTTTGGTTTTTGCTCTTAACTTTTTTCTTAGCTTTATATCTTAGCTCTGTTTTTTTTTTATCAGTGTTTTGATAAACAAAGAAAAAAATCAGGAGCCACATGACTTTTCCTCCAGACAAAATCTAGAAGTGTTGATTTTTCTTGTGTGTGTTTTTTTGTTTGTTTGTTTGAAAAAAAAAAAGCTAAAGGGAAGAACAGTTACACTCTGACAGAAAGCTTAAGAGGACCCCCTTCAACACATGGGTGTATAAGTTCAGCACTGCATTAAAACCAAAGAAAATCCCTGAAAACATAAAATAAAATGTTACATCTTCAGTAGTTGTTTTCTTCTTTTTGAAGGAGTAAGAGACTCCGAGGAAGAATTAGATGTGAACTACTTAAGTGTAATTTTCACTTGAGAATTACTTCCTACTATGCTTTTCTTATGCTGAATCTTAATAAATAAATAAATAAAGGAAAGAATATATGTTTGAATTAACACAACCAGCATGACTTGTTTTTTTGACCCATCAAGAGAAATAATGTTTGATAACCATCAATTACATTACAAGGGAACTATTTGCTTGAGCAAATAGGAACTATATCTAAGAATGTATTTGACAGAAGTAAACAACAGAATTAAGAGTGCTACACAAAGCTAGAAAAAGATAGAAGTAGTGTTTACACTATCGATTAAATGTTAGAATTTTCCATCCCTTGTCAAACACTTTTTCACCATCTTCTAAGCTGTTCTGTGATAAAACCAGCAGCAAATATAGGTGGTAGAGATTGATTTGACAAATTCTACTAAATTATAAGATTTATCTTTGATGTTTTCTTCTTTCTACAGTGAAGAAATTTGCCTACAAAAATTTCACTGTGGATTTTCTTTCTTTTCAGACCTGTATGTGGAATCAGAGGGAAAACTCTCATAATTAATCTGCCAGGTAGCAAGAAAGGGTCACAGGTAAGAAGTATTCTTGCTGATCTGCTACTGAAGGCTGATGATAAGTCCTGAATGTAGAAAGTATCTACTACAAGTTTTACAAAAGTTAACTGAAATGCATATTTCAATTGCAGCATCCCAGTCAGTCCTGTGATTAGACCAGAACAATACCGTTCTGAAGTAACTGAAAGTACTGTGCAACAGATAGCAAGAGAGTGCTATCTGTAGCAGGCAGCATTAATGAAGATTCTAATGGTCTCTTACATTTCCTTCATGTTTTCTGGTCAGCCTGTGACTGATCCCTGTGTTTTTTACTGCTTACAGGAAAGCACTCTTTTTCATGCAGAAGTAAGAGGAAGGCCTAGTGTACTGTAGAACTTGCTAGAGTTAAGAATAATTCCAGCTTTGGTCAGCAAGAGGGGAAAATGGAGCATAATTTTTAAGAATATGAAAAATTTTAATATTTTGGATATGGATATCAGACTTGACACCCTTTACAGTTTGTTTTCTTCCTACATTTAGCTCAATCTGGACAAGGAAGTTAGGATATATGTTTTTATCCATACTTATTTTCTGACTTTATATTAATTGATGTACATATGCTACATTCTGAGATTTCTTTCTCTGCTATCCAATCATTACTATTTACTAGTGCCACTATTATACGTTACCATTGAAAAACTGTGACTATGAGAAATCAGACATTAGAAAAACAAGCAGGTGACAATTCAAAGCAGTCAGTATCGACTTCATGTTATATTTCTTCGTTTCTGAAGGACGGACTACTCAAATGTGCCTGATATACACACATGCTTTAGCTTGAAAGGGGGAAAGATTTACTTTCTCAATGCATGCAAAGGACTTATCACCCCTTTTTTTCCCATATTCTTGGTGTATGGGATTTTAAGGTAAAGTTCATACCTTAAAAAACTGTAACGTAAAGCTAAACATCTGATAAAATAGATAGCTTTGCCATATGAACACTAATTTCTTGAGTATATGACTGCTTTTGCTTTCTGGTTACTAATCTCAGATTAAGTGAAGTTAACAGTTGATGTCAGGTATGCTGTCCTCACATGGCATTTTCTTGCAGTGGCTCTGCAACTCGCTGTTGTCTCGTGTAGTTGCATGAAGAGTACCACCTCCTTCTCATCTAAGTGATGGCTCCTTTTGCGAAGGTGCTTGATTTTCAGATCCTTGATTGCCAACACTGCAGCAAGTGTCTGTGTACTTTCCTGGCCACTTTTCTAGGATTACTGTGATGCAACTTTTCTATATTACGAAATAAGAATATTTGCTGCCACTAGTAACCATAAAGCATTCCCCTATACCAGGAGGAATCAAGGTACTACTAACTATATTTTAGCATGAAGGAAAAAAGAATGGCAAAAATAGAAAAAAAGGTGGAAAAAAAAAAAGTAGAATAAAAGGTGGAGAACAATTTTGCTTTTGAGGGGGAAAAGGCCTTAAATCACTAAGTTAAAATAAAAAATGATAGTTCTAGTCACTGCCATCTCAACTGTTCGATAAAACTTATTCATGTCTTGATTTTCCTGCTGCCTGTTTAAACACTGCCATGTAGTAGTCCAAAAGGAACTATGATGTTTCATATTGAGCAAGATCTTGTGTCTGTGCAAAAATCTGCACTTTATTCTTTTGACAGTTCAGAGGATCTTCATCAAGGTGCTGGCAGTCATTGTGTTATCCATTTGGAGGGAGAGTAAGGGTGAATGAGTTAATAGTTATGTCGAGATATTGAATTAGGTACTTTGTGATATAAGTCAGGGAAGGTAGGGGGGTGATAGACCTGCTGTCAAGATACGGCAATGGTGCACAGCAAGAGATCAGAGGCTATGGTGGAGTATAGACCATAGCTGATATAGTAGTGCCTGGATAACTCAATGCAAAAAAATGCCACAATTCCTTCCACAGCCGTAGCCATTCTCCAGCTTTTCAAAAGCCTGTCATCATTATAACGAAAAAGTCACAGTGTTCACTTGAATTGCAGCCGTCTCTGTAGTAGTGATCTTTCTTCTCTGAGAGAATTCTGATAATGTAAAACCTGATTCACTGCCTAATTATCACCCATTCCCACAACAGTGAAGTCTGGCGTAATACTCTTAGAATAAATGTCAGCATGCATGTTTATGATGCTTGTTGCCAAACTACTTCCTCAACTTTAAAAGCCTAGCTTCAGACTTGCTTTTACTGAAGGATGTAATTCTCAGCCTTGAGATCGCTTTTATTAACTTAGTGATCAAACAATCTTTGATTTACTTGTTCAACTTCTTCCAGATCGGTCCGCTCACATTAGGGCAGTGTATTCACTTAGGTATTCTGACAAGCTTGAGGTAACTGAACCCCCAGGGAATAAAAACTTCGTGTCACTGTTCTGGAATACAGATTGATATGAAATGGGCTTTTCATTTGTATCTTGTCTTGCAAATCACAAAGTGCAGTACCAATTCTTTATTCTATTCAACAAGTGGAATGTGACACCTCTTGTCATGTATAGGGGAACTTGACATATACAGGGGGACAGTAGTTTTGTAAACTGAGCGTGAGTTGATGTGTATATGATGTACTTACAAGATATTTTGGAAACTGTTTTTTTCCACTGAGATTAGTCAGGAAATGCTTTCTTCAGGAATAAATATTCTGGACCTTTATAGTTTTGAATAACAATTCTACTGTTATTTAGGGAGGAATAATTGCATGCACCAGTAGAGGTTGGGGGATGAGCTGCTGGAGGGGAGCTCTGCGGAGAGGGACCTGGGTGTCCTGGTGGACGACAGGTTGGCCATGAGCCAGCAGTGTGCCCTCGTGGCCAAGAGGGCCAATGGCATCCTGGGATGCATTAAAAAGAGCGTGGCCAGCAGGTCGAGGGACGTGTGATCCTCCCCCTCTACTCTGCCCTGGTGAGGCCTCATCTGGAGCACTGCGTCCAGTTCTGGGCTCCCCAGTACAAAAAAGACAGGGATCTCTTGGAAAGAGTCCAGCGGAGGGCCACAAAGATGGTGAGGGGCCTGGAGCATCTCTCCTATGAGGAAAGGCTGAGTGAACTGAGTCTGTTCAGCCTTGAGAAAAGAAGGGACCTGATCCAGGTCTATAAATATCTAAGGGTGAAGGGCAGAGTGACAAGGCCAGACTGTTTTCAGCAGGGAGTGGAGACAGGACAAGGGGAAACGTCTGGAAACTGCAGCGTAGGAAGTTCCGCACAAATGTGCACAAGAACTTCTTTACAGTGAGGTGACGGAGCACTGGAACAGGCTGCCCAGGGACGTGGAATCTTCTTCTCTGGAGATGTTCAAGACCCTCCTGGACTCCTACTTTTGTGACCTGCTGTAGTGAACCTGCTTTGGCAGGGGGGTTGGACTCGATGATCTCTGGAGGCCTTTCCAACCCCCATGATTCTGTGTGATTCTGTGATTAGAAGTTAACTAAAAGTCTCCGTGTTTTCCTGCCTGGAGGCACTTAGACTGTGAACTTAGGTAAGGAGCATGAGGAAAAAAAATGAAATATGTTAATAAGTATTTTAGCAATACTTTGAAATGTAAGTGATTAATAAAAAGGTAATTCTGCCAGAAAATTTAAAAAAAAACCTTGATTTTCAGATATAAGATTGCTATAAGCTTTATTTAATCCTGTTATGTTGATCATCTGTTCTGTCACTGTTTATTTATTTAAACATAAAACATCTTCAAAACATGAGATTTCAGCAGAGACTTTTAAGATTCATAGTGCAGAAAATGCTTCCTTAACAGTTGAGTTCTCAGGAACCAAATAGGGCAGATTGTTACCAGGCATTGCTCTCATTTTTCTCCTTTATGACTTGCAAATATTCTTTCCATTTTATTAATACAATCAGGTAGGAAGCTTATATAAAAGCTATAAAATTGCACCAGTACGCTTATTTCATTAATACAATACTAAATTTTAATACAGCGTGACAGCAGTGTAAATGTCCATGTCAAAAATGGACACAATGCGAAATAGAAGGAAATGAAGGCAAGAGCAGTTTGAACTGAGTGTGTAAAACTCCCTCTTGCTGTATTTTCTCCTTTTTTATGAGTGCAGATTTCACTTTGGAAAGGAGAGCTGTGTATTCTTAGGTCAAAACCAATATTGCAATAGAAGTAGATGAAAGAAGGCAACTATAGTAAACTCAGTTGAAGCCAATAACTGTTTACTTAAGGTTGATCAGAGCACCAGAATAAAAACTTGCCTTACCAAGGAGTCCAAGCCTCACTGTGAAAGGAGTCATCGGGGACTTTTTAACTCAGACTGTTTGGTACTGGAGTCGATGTTGTTGGAACAGGACCTTAGAGTCAAATTTTAAATTGCATTTTTGAGTTCTAATCTTGCAAATAAGTAAAATAAATCATTTTTAACTAGTGCACTATCTCATAGAGAAGGTATCCAAGATGTCTCCACTGGTATCATAACAATGTAACCATTCCTACCTACACTTCTAGTAGCTAACTGAAATAAATACTTTGGTAGGCTCTTTATTTTCTGTAATACTAGTATAGCACAATGGAGAGGAAAAAACCTTGTAACCCAAAGCAGAAACCATGTTGGCGTTGGAAGTTCTCCATTTGTAGCTGTAGCCGTGGCATTGTCACTGCAGTCATCGGAGATGCTATCTTGGCATTTCTGTTTCACTTCAGAGCAGTTCTCTGTGCTCAGTTGCCTGCTAGAATCTCAAGCATTCTTTGCTCTGCTGCTGTGGTAGTGAGCAAGAAGAAAAATGCAGGTGATGCCAAACATATTTTCCTCAGAGAACTTATGAGGAATGTATCACTGAACACTGCTTCAATTTTTGTGCTGTTCTAGTCTGTTTCATTTCATTTCAGCCTTTAAAAAGCTATATAATACTGTCAGAGGAGGCATAGTAATGAAATTATCAGATAAACACTGAAATCTTTGGGTCTATGGCAATTTGCATAACTGTACTAACAATTGCCTAAACCAATGAGTGTTAGAAATAGCATAGTTGGGAACTAACTTGTCAGCAGTCAACAAGGATTTATTTCAGTATTAGGAATGGGCAGTATGCTTGCTAATGAGTTAATAATTAAAGTACGCTTTCATTATTTGTAGTCAGATCTCCTTGTTTACCAGTTGCTTGAGAATGGCTTCTTCACTGAAGAAAGGATGGTTGTATACCTCGATGTTTTAAACCACTTTTATAGTAATACTCTGGAGTTTCAATAACTCTGACCCTCATAGTTACATTAGAAATTGTATTTCTTTATTATATTTACAAATAGATTTTTAATATGTATTCATTGAATGCAGCAATTCGTGCGCATCTGCTCAGTCGCGTTCTTCAGAGTAACAAATCAAATATTTATAGAATTTATGAATCTGAGAAGTAGTCTGACTTTTCATTACTCTTAAAGGTATGATTGAAAGATGGATTCTTATTTAGAGGCTTTGAGGAAATAGAGTTTGTGAGTCATGTTTTTTGACTTACATAAAGGCTCATATAAATTCTGCTATTCTCTGATGGATGGTTTCTTTACATAGTCATTTTTATGTATTGAAAATACTTGTTACTGTATCTGTGTACAAAATATTTATCATTATTTAGTTTCTGGGCACTTTAAATTCCAGTATTACATTTTGAGAAGTTTCCTTATGGTCGAAATGGAACAAAAGATGAAAAGAATGAAAGGCATAGTATGAGCTTCCTCTGTCAACTTGTGCATTCTCTAACTGTACTGCCTTGGAAATTCATTGTTGTGACCTTGCCATCATTTTCCAGTAATTGAATATATGTATGCAGTGTGCGGATCTGACATGAAGAAAACCCTTTGTTCTGAGGTGCCTTAGAGAGAGACAGTAGTCATAAATTGAAGAAGGGGAACTTCCAACTGGATAAGAAAATAAAGAAAAAAATCACTATGAGGATAATTAGTCATTAGAACGGGTTGTCCAGAAAGGCTGGGGAGTCTCTGTTCTTGGATTTTTTCAAGAATAGGCTGAACAAATCCCAAAGTAACCTGTCTGAATTTTAGTATTTTCAGTATTTTAATGACTTCCTGAGGTTCCTTGCAACACTGGTTCTTTCATTTGGTAAAATAGCTAAAGGTAGCTAGAGATATGTGTACACCTGCTGGCAGAACAAGAATGGTTACATGGCATCTGTGTTTTTTCTCTTCTCCGACTGCACAAAATAAACTTTTTGATTGTTTTAAGTCACAGAGCGAGGAGAGGTTTGAAAAATATATCACAGAAGGTAAATTTTTTGAGTTACTTAAAATTATAATCAGTACTGCCTGTGATTCTTCCAGCCCAAATTATAAATCCATGAATAAAAAGAACCCATAGCGTTATGTAAAAGTGCAATTATGTCAACCATTATGAAACATTCTCAAACTGTGAAAGCGTGCAGTAGAAATTATTGGAAGCTAATAACCTTGCAGAGATAGAGTGTTTTTATTCTGCATTTCTGTAGTATACTGCCAACCGCCATGAAGGTGTTTCTGTATTATGTATTCATTAAAATTTTAACTTTGTTTTGCTAAGTTTTAATCTAGCATTAGGTTAATTGCATTAACTCTTGACTGTTGTACAGCTTACTATATCTGCATGAAAAGGAGAAAAAAAAAGTACTCCTGAGTCCTCAGAAACTCTGGTGGTTTTTTTGGCTGATTGGTTGTTGCGGTTTTGGTTATTTCTTTATTTTATTTTATTTTATTTTTTATTTTTATTTTTATTTTTATTTTTATTTTTATTTTTATTTTTATTTTTTTTTCCTAAGAGCAATGGTAATGGACATCAAGTAATTTTGATCATTTTATTTATGATCAAGTAAAAAAGATACATAAAAATCCCTAATATCCCCTAAAAGCAAATCTGAAAAATCCTTCTTTGCTTCTGCAGGTAACTATTCATAGTCATTTCTCTTCTTGTGCATAGGAATGCTTTCAGTTTATACTGCCAGCCCTACCTCATGCCATTGATCTTTTGCGGGACGCCATTGTGAAAGTAAAGGAGGTACACGATGAGCTAGAAGATCTACCTTCACCACCACCTCCTCTTTCTCCTCCTCCAACCACCAGCCCTCACAAGCAGACAGAGGACAAAGGAGTACAGTGTGAGGAAGAGGAGGAAGAGAAGAAGGATAGTGGAGTTGCATCAACAGAGGACAGTTCCTCTTCACATATAACTGCAGCAGCCATTGCAGCTAAGGTGAGTCTGGATTGTTTCCAAGAGACTCTTTAGCTTTGCTCGGGTACCTTCCACCAATATTCATTTGCACATTAAGACTAAATGTCTATGTTGGTGTGCTCAAACAGATATATTTTGGATGCATTTCATAGAAATTTAGCTGTGCAAGAACATATGAATGTTTCAGAAGATGATCACAGATTTCATTGGAAGATGCATTGTTTATTATTTTGACTATAAGTTGCATTTTAATGATACCATTCTGATGTGACAGAATATGTTTAGTGTTAGGTTTAAAAGAAAAAAACAATCAGAAATACTTACTCCTGAATGTGCAGTGTCCAGCGAGCGACATATTCAGGAGGCACAGGTTGCTCCTAAATCATATTTTCCATTTTGTAAAGACAGTATTGGTTTTTAAAAACATAAAAAGTATGACAGTTATATAGCAGGTTAAGTCATAAGCTATCCAAATTAAATGTCATCATGTTGTCTCTAGAGCCTCAGTGTAACTACTAATTATAGATTAATGTTACTTCAGCGTTACTCACACCAAAATTTTGAATTGGAGACTACAAAAGGAAAAAGGATAACACTCATTTATTCCAAATTGATTTGCTCTATTTTCACTCGCTGTACTTTTAATTCCGACTATGGGAACTGAAAATGTAAGTAACTCAAAATGCTAATAAAGGACTTCTAAAGCAAAGTGGCAACATTCTAACTCCAGAAGTGTGAATTCAGGTCTGATTCCTAAGACAGCTACAGCTGGAGGTCATCATTTTATAGAAAATCCTGTTTGTATATGTCTTTAAAGGGCTAAATTAAGGTAGTTATCAAATGCAACTCAGCTTTTATTCATGCAGTTTTTAAATTCATCATTTTCTTTTAATATAGACAAAGAAAAATAATTTATGCAATTTTAAAGACAGAAATTGTCTGACATCTAAACTGGCTGTGTTCATGTGAGCTTGACATTTCAGCATCACAGTTGTTTTCACCTCATTGCCTTTCAGTCATTTGCTTGTTTGGTCTCATATTTTCCTGTCACTGTATTCATAGCTGTTATGTGTTGTGCATTAGAAACATCCATCCTACACCAGTTCAGCAGTTATTATGGCAAAAGGTGAACAGCCCATTCCTGGTCTCATCAGTTATTGCCATCATGCAGCAGGCAGTGCAGGAGAACCGGTAAGATGCACTTCCCAGAGGCTTTTGCACTAACAATAGTTAAAAATACACTGCCTGCCACCTATTCTAACAGTGTTACTTTTTTTTATTCTAACAAATACATATCAGTGCTATCTGTCTTTTAAAGAATATGCTACAGGGAACATTCTGCTTAAGATGCAAACCTAACAGGATAAATATTATGTGCTTTTCTGTCAGTTGGAATCATTTGGCTGCTGAGATAAGAATTGTTGTAAAGCCTGTTTTTCTGACTAGTCATCAACTTAATCATCTAATAGACTAAATTATTAAACATAATTAAAAGAATCTCCTAAAATCACTGCCTTAGAGCTTTTTCACTATCATTTAACTTGCTTTGCTTCTTTCTCTCAAAAGCTTGTTTGTCAACATAGTACAAGATTGTCAATGTTTTCATTGCTTAGTTTCTATTTTATTATTGTGTTTTGTTTAGAAGTAGAATTTTTCAAAAGCAGTAAAAAACTGAAGTCAGGTACAGTAGATTCATAAATTATAAATTTCTGGATTTTTGTGAATAGTAGGCAACTACTTCAATGAGTGGTAGGAATCAATACCAAAGGTTGAGTCTAAACTTGAATCAAGATAGAGTAATGGCTCCTAGTATCATTAGGGATTAAATATAATTTACCATATTTATAATTACAAGTTAGATGAGTCTGAGGAAAGTAGTTGCCCTAGCAGTTATGCCATTCTACCATCCACCCTATCTGCCTGCAAAATAAGTGTAAATTCTTAACATTAAATCATCAGTTCTGTTTATCAGAGTCTACACTTTCTCAACCCTTAAGCAAATAGTAATTTAAATCACCAATCAAACTAATTTAAATCAGTCAAGCAGTGCAATGCCTCTGTATATAAAACATGATGGCCATGTCTCTCGAAAAGTCATTTAGGAAATGTGAAGGCATTTAAACCAATGTAAAACTGCTTTTGGAAAAGATGGTATCAGATGAAAATTTAAAATTAATGAGAGGCATAGTGAATATCTTTCTCTGTCCACCATTTCTCATTCATTTCTTTTTCCATCAGTATGTTACAAGTTTTACCACTCTAGCTATAAGCAGCAACCATTTTTACCCAACTTCAGTTTTATCATACCCCATTTAAAGAGTATCCCCATTCAGAGTTTTGAGACATCTATCCTTTATTAAATTTGTTTGAAAATGAATTGAAAATATTTAGATAAAGATGGCATAAACACTTAGAGTGTGACTCCATGAAAAAACTAATATTTCATTATTATTATTTCTGCCTTTCATTTTTGCAGAAAACACAAAAATTTCTTTGGCTTATCAATCTCTTTAACAGCATTAATAAAATGCTGCCTTTACTAGATATGCAGATTACCCAAATCTATTTAAAACAAAACAAAACTAAACAAAAACAAAAACTTGCTAAATATCAGTAAAATTAGACATTCCCCATCTTATATAACATGTATGCATAAAAATATCGGTTACATTTTGATGTCCCATTAATGAGCAATGTATGTGCTTTATGTTGTTTTATGTATTTATGTTGATGCAATTTACACTTTTGTATTAGTAACTGCAGTCAGCAGGTAATGGTGGTTAAAGAGAATCTTTTTTAGCTAGACAACAAATTCTGCTGTGACAGTAGAGAAACAGATCTCCTGGGAGCAACATTTTTAACTGCAAGCTAACCTAAATCACTCATTAAGATTTTGTAATTTTGAAAGCTAGCAAGCTGGAACTTAACAGTTCTAGATGGGTTTATATATAGTTTTATGACAAATTTTATTTTCAGCAAAGATAGTGATTAGGAAATAATCCCCATTGAAAAGTAATTCCTGTAATCATCTTCAATCTGTCTTTAGCTTCCTTTGCTGATTAATGTCCTACCTGATATTTCAACTAAATTTTGATTTTTCCACAAGCGAAAAATTAGAATCATAGAATCATAGAATCACCAAGGTTGGAAAAGACCTAGAAGATCATCCAGTCCAACTGTTCCAACCATTAGTACTGCACGTGCATTTCAATGGAGACTGGAAGAGTCTCACATAACTTTTATTTTCTTTTTACTCTTAAAAAGGTGATGCCAGATAAAATTCTGGCAGCTGAAATTGATGGATAAAAAAGTAGATCACTTGGTTGAAGGAAATGAGACAATGAGAGATATCCTATTATTCTAGAGCAACGAGAGTTAACTGCAGGGAGAAATGGATCATGATGTCATTTGTAATATGTTATATTGTGTCTGTATTGTGTTATCCTGAAGCATGTGAAGGGTATAATAGGCCCATTGGCCCACACTCAACTCTGTCAAGATGCATGCATCCCTTTATCAGAGAAGAGAAAAAAAAAAAATTCTTAAATGGTACTTTTTTTAAGATTTAAAACTATTCCTTCTTTTATAAATTTTCTGTTCTATGCCTTTGTCACAGAATCACAGAATGGCCAGGGTTGGAAGGGACCTCAAGGATCATGAATCTCCAACCCCCCTGCCACATGCAGGGCCACCAACCTCCACGTTTAATGCTAAACCAGGCTGCCCAGGACCCCATCCAATCTGGCCTTGAACACCTCTAGGGACAGGGCATCCACCACCTCTCTGGGCAGCCTGTTCCAGCACCTCACCACTCCCTCTGTCAAGAATTTCCCTGACATCCAACCTAAATTTCCCCTCCCTCAACGTAAAACCATTTCCCCTTGTCCTGCAGTTATCAACCTTTTTGAAGAGTTGATTCCCCTCCTGTTTGTAGGCTCCCTTTAGATATTGAAAGGCTGCAGTAAGGTCACCCCACAGCCTATTTTTCTTCAGGCTGAACAAGCCCAGCTCCCTCAGCCTGTCTTCACAGGAGAGATGCTCAAGTCCCCTGATCATCTTCGTGGATCTCCTCTGGACCCTCTCCAACAAAAATTGTCAAAATTTAGGGTTTTGATAAAACATTGAGATTAAAAGGAAGTATTAAAAGTTGTATATAGTGTTGGAGTTATGCCAGTATAAAACTAAGAGTTGCCAACCTTTTTTGCATATTTAACTTATTTCAAATAGAATTGCAGATGAAAGAGAACAGAAAGGAGATTGTGCTTCTGAATACAGTCTGTCTGATAAGAATAGCGTAGTGCCTTTTTTCTCCTGCTTATACTACATATCTAAGATCTTAGTTGCAATTTAGACTACTGCAAGTTGAGGTCAGTTTGATACTGTTTCTGAGCAGAAGCAATCCCAAGCATAACCTTCCATAGTGAAAAGAAACTGTTTTGTAATTTACAGTGAAAATTGCAGCACAAATTACTAAGTACTGAAAGAACTTCTGAAGAAATTTTTAAAATACCGACAGAAATTGACTGGCAAAAATACTGTCAGTCTAGAAACACAGCAGCAGGCAGCTGGTAGTATACTGAGAAGAAAATCTGTTGCCATAAAACTTAAGTTGCGAACTCAAGAAAGTCTAACATACGGAGAAGAGTTTATGTTCAGAACAATCCACAAGATACAAGCCAGTGTCTCTAAGTTAAGGTTGCTAAATTAGATGCAGTTGTTATTCATAGTTGTGAATAAAGGAAGCTAAGGAAACAAAAATGACATAAAAAAGGAATATTTAGTGAGTTGAGCCTTAAGATTGGCCATTTCAACAGGCCATTCAACAGGAATATAACATGAACATCTCCTACTTAACTACAGCCTGAAAAAGTATGAGGGTATGAGTAAATTTGTAGACAAATCATGTTTCATTAAATTTTAAATTATTGTAATATCAGTCCTATGTCTGAGAGAAGACAATTTGCCAGTAAGTGTTACCAAGGTCTGAGCAAGTTCCTGAGGCATATGTCAAAGATACTGTAACTTCCCAATTGGAACAGCTTTGGTATGTCACTTAGTATGCAAAATCAGCAGACCATTAAGAACATCCCATGCTTTTCCTAGGAGTACATGTCTATTTCATTTTACTCCTCTTTCAGTATCATGCTTTGTCTCCACAAATCAGTAATGTGAGATGACTCTGGGACAAGGAATCCTGGGAGGAAATGTTTTCTAGAGCATTCTGTTTGCCTTAAAGCCATACTAGGCAAGAATGCTCAGAAATGCCTAGATGCAAGCTAGTTAAAGCATATCCGTTTAAAAAAAGATTGCAGAGAATTCTAGCTGGATTTGGTTAAAGTAAGTGGTTTGGCTTGTCACATTTCTCATTTTCTTCTACTGTTCACTACTGCCATTTCCCCCAGTTGCATTTTAGGTGGTTCTTTTGGAACTTGAATGTCAGGCTAAAGTAATAAATTCTTAATGAGTACAGAGATCATAAAATATGTGTCTATATACATACTCCTTAAAAAGTCTGAATTTGGAGTTATTCTTTTACATTTTCTTTTATGTTGTGATGGAAAATTAAATTGCTGGAATAATCTGATGTTAGAAGTGCTACCTCTGAAAAAAAAATATGTTAAAATCTTGAAAATAAAATCAGAATAAAACTGAGAGTGTTTAATAGCAGAATATATGCTGCATTTTGTGTGTAGGACAGTTCTCCTATTTGAGATAGTTGTCATCTGTATGTGTTATCATTTTATACAAAATAAATAAATAGAATCATGATGTCAGGCTGGCAATTCAATCTATTATAAAGTTGATGTGATATCTTCATGGGTAGACCGAAATACTGCAGTAATAAAAAGCAAGAGACTTTCTAAGACTCAATGTATGTTAAAGGTCGACTCTTAAATGCAGTCCTCTAGCTCTAGTCTTTGTGACGGATGTTAAAACAGAACAGAAAAAACAGAATATTGAAACAATACATTGATAGATTTATTCATATTACTGAAAGTATTCTCATTGTTCGAAGTTGTTGTAACTCCATTTACTTAAGTGGGTTAATAATACCAGCTAGAGGATCTGTTACTTAAAATCTTCCTCTTAGAAATATCAAGTTCTTAAGTATATTATGTGAAAACAAAGATTGAACTCTCTTCACAGTGCATTTTAAACACAAGCATGGACTCTATACGGAGTTTTCTATTGCTTTTGCCTATAGTGTCTTCACAGAGGCCTGCAGGTTATTCAAATACAGATTTTACATCAAGAATTTGTGTACCTGAAATAAATAATTTAGTATATGGAATGAAATGTATGAAGTGTCACTGTATGGCATTTTTTCTGAGAAATTTATTTACTGCATGATATTTCTTCAGATGGTATCAGTCATTGCTAATGATTGGTTTTCTGTTTGGAACAGATAAAAGTGAGATCCATCTGCGTCATGGTAGAAGTCACTGCTGGTCATTGTTGGACTTGAAAGGATTGGGTGCTGAGAAAAAACAATCTTGTTACTTACTGTTACATCTTAGTAGTGTATCGTATGCAAAGGCTTTCAGAGCAAATAATTTCTTCTGTGCTTCTACAGTTACGATATGATTTTGCTTATTTGTAGTGGGTTTGTTACTGAAGTTACAAGAACTTAAATGTTACTGCTGCTAGCAATGCATATGAGGAAATTTTATGCTTTTTCAATAAAGTATATTATTGACTCTTAATTCCATCTCTCTTCTTTCAAGATTCCAGATTCCATCATTTCTCGTGGTGTTCAGGTGCTCCCACGTGATACAGCCTCACTCAGCACTACCCCTTCAGAATCTCCTCGTGCCCAGGCCACCTCTCGTCTCTCCACTGCATCCTGCCCAACACCAAAAGTAAGTACCTTGCAAGTTCCATGCTCAGACATATGATCTATCAGATTAATGTACTGCTTCTGCTAAGAGAGATTGGTTTGCATGCAAGGGATATATCATTCTCAGTAATAGATAAATCCAAGACAGTACTTTATTCCTTGTGCACTTCTGCACGATTTAATATGTGGGTCTACCAACATGTTATGATTACTGAAGTTTCATGTTAGCTCCTGCGATATCAGTCATGAAATCATTAATGCCTTGAATGTGTTTCATATCCCCAAGAACATAGGTAATCCTGCCACTGAGTAGCAACTTTAAATAAGTAGTATTATGCTGACAAAAGGTGTGTACAAATTTCTAGCCTGAGCTGGGGCAGTTCTTTGCCCTGCTCTATTATTGATCAGTTTAAGAAAGTTGCAAACCAACTAATTTCACTCAACCTTAGATATTTGCTGCCTGACACTTGGAAACAAAAAAGAGACTAAATTTAATAGTAAGAAAGTTTTAATGCCAACCTTGTGGGATTGTTCACTTCTTACTGATTATACTATGCCATTTAATTGTTAAAGTGAACTCTTTCTAAAAACCTTGAATTGCATACATCAAGGACAAAGTGAATTGACCAGTGGCAAGGCCAGTAATGTCTACCTACAGTAGGATTATTTTCAGCAGAAGAAAGCTCTGCCAGAATTCGCTTCATGTCTTCGTGTCACGGTGATCTTTTTGTGGTACCAGATGCAGACATACTAATAAACTCATAGCAGATGGTGAACAATAACATTCTTCCTTGTCTAATTTGTGATCCTTGAAGACTATTCTGCTTGCTAAAATGATTTGCCAGCATCTGCTAATTCTTCTTCCTGCTGTCTCATTCTTTTCTGTTAGCGAGCAAGATTTTTGGGCAACCACCCATAGAAATATTTTGGTTTAGTCTGTTGGAGAGTTTTATGCAATACTCACCTTCTCTGTAACAGAGTCAAAATTATGTTGATAGACAGCATACTAAGCTTCACTTTATTCTGCTTTTCTTAAGAAGATATTCAGTGAATTATATCTGCATGCAGTTCCTTTTTTTTTAATAACTAAAAAAGCTGTCACTTGTCTGATGGCTAAAAATAGAAACTCAGAGCTTATTACATTAAAACTCTTGAGCAGAAGAGGAGTACAAAACAGGAGCTGCACTGAGTTTCACACCTCTTGACAAAACAGAGAAATCCAAAGAAAACCTAAGAAGACCAATAACAAGCATAAAATAGTGTCAACATTGTTAATAGCTCTAGATTAAACCCCTATGTTTTAAGGAAGGTATGGCTGTGGAAAAGTGTGTACCTTATCAGTGGTGAAGCAGAATGTATTCTTCTCGACCTGGCATGTCCAACCTATGGCCTGCATGTGGCCCAGGTCAGCTAATAATTAGTCCCACCATCCTGCTCTTCCCCACGGATTGGCCTGGCCCAGTCCCATCACTGAGCAACAAGCAAAACATCAGCTCAAGACAATTCCTCTTTACTATGTGTCTCCCAGGCAAATCAAAAGGTTGAATATTGAATATCTTTATGCTGTAGGCAGTCTTCAAAGATTCAGAGGCTTCAGAAGGAAACTACATCAATTTTGAAACAAGAGTAAAAAATCTAAAACTTTTCTTTGGGAAATTAGTTGAGATGAGCTCTTATAATTGCATAACACTTCAGAGTTTTGTGTTAAGCCCCATTTTTCATGTATTACTTGCAAGATCCGGTTTTGTTCAAAATAGGAGAGACCATACCACTTTTAAAACAGGAATTGCCATGAGACATCTATCTAGTCTAGCTTTTCTTTAACATCTTCCAGAAGGGGTAGTACAAGCTGCTTTAAGGAAAAATTAAGGAAAACTTAACTGTTAACAGCAAGAAAATAAATGTGAAGAACAATCTCACTATTCCAATTACCTGAAGTTTGTATTTTGCACAGAAGCATAAACTCGTTTGTCAGTTAGAAAGCTCTTTGTTTTTTATGTATTTTGAAAAATGAAAACTCCAACTATTCTTGGCATCTTTCATTCAGTCTTTTTATTTACCCCCAACTTCTCAAACATCATCTGAATTTGTCTAGAAATACACTTCATTCACATTCTTCAAGATTGTCAGTATGTCCAAACATCTTCACTTGCTATGTTTTTCCTTCTGGATCCCAGCTTTCTAATAATGCAGTGTAATGTAATTTATACCAAATCTCTTGGTCCATAGATTCACACAGTAGTGTGTATGAAAAGGAATTGTAACATAACATCTAGTTGATGTTCTGGCTTTTTTATTTCTTTGATCTGCAAGTGTGTACCTTTTCCATATTCTGACTTTCTGGTTGAGGATTTCACTTCAGGGCTCCTAAACATGTGTATGTGAACTGAAACAAAGAAGAAGAAGTTTAATCAGAAAACAATTTGATTTCCTTTGATTATGGTTACTTTTTTGAGTGGTGCTCTAGCCAGAGAATAAGTGGCACTAGATTTCTTTGTGGAACTTTCCAATTTATTTTGTTGCACCATTTTTTTGTAATTTTTTTTTTGGTCCTAAATGTATGTAAACCCTTACATCTCTCTTACTGAATTTGCTGAGCAGCAGAAAGTTTTGTGTCCCTCTCACAAAAAAAAAACAAAGCAAAAAACGAAGAACAAGCAGCTTATACAATGATGGGAGCACCTATATTAAATAAATGTGAGTAGCGGGTTACTAATTCATGAGTGTGTTGGAGACAAGGTATGAAAGAGTGCATTACTAATGCTCCTGATTGATCTGTTACGAAAAGTCTTTGCCTTTTCATAATTATGTTTTGGAAAAAATAATGTTGTTTATGTGTACACGCAGAGCATGTAGGCAGACACAAAATAGAAGATTTAATTTTAGATGTCTTTATTTTTTATACTTCATCTTCCATGTTTTCTGAAAGTCTATGTGTAAGAAAGTAGTAAACAATGAATAGTCATTTTGAACCTGTATATTTCAATCAGTCTTCAGAAGTTACATTTCCTGAAAAAAGAAGGAATCAGAGAGGATTGTAGGTGTCCCCTTCCTGGAGGTAAGGTGTTCAGGGCCAGTCTGGATGGGTCTAATGGGAGGTGTCTTTGCCTGTGGTAGAGGGATTGGAGGGTGATGATCTCGATAGTCTCTTCCAACCCAAACCATGCTGTATTTTTCACTATAAATTCTTCGGAGGTTTTCAAGACAAATGTCCACTGGGACAACTCTGTCATTATGTACATCCCCAAAACTAAGCAGACTTTCTTGTGTGAGCGTTAATAAATCTCCATGGAATGCCTTCCTTTTTCTGTAAATTGTATTCAAGTTTTAAGCAAAATCCACTGTGGCTCGAAGAGCATTTAAAACTTATTTATAGTAGAAAGATTCAGATAGACAGGCAATCTTGAGTTTTACTCTAGGGAAAACTGCGCTGACAGTCCTCACCTTTCCAGTTATTCAGCCCTAAGTATGGTAGTGATTGTGACATTTTTATGTTTAACAATGTAGTTTTAGTCTTCTGAAAGTTTTAATGTTTTCTCAACAAGGCCAAGTGAATTTGTGAAATATTTATATGACAGAAGTATAAGATGAAACAATATGGCTTGCAAGTTTTTTATATAATTTCCAATAGTTGCTTAGATCGTAAGATCTTCCTATATTTTTTTACATTTCAAGTCTTTGCTTCTCCCATACATAAATGGTGTTATCACTATGTATTTTATTTTACCAGTACTGTGTGTCAGAGTAAAATGAAGCAGATATAGAAGACCAAGGGCAAGATTTAAATTATCACCAGGAGTACATTTCAGTGACAAGAGGTGTTCAAAGTGCTTCACTTTCCAAGATCATCAGTCTAACTGATACTCAGTTCTTCTACTTCAATGTACAGAGTTCCTTTCAGTGTACCTTTGATCATGAAGGAGCCTAAGAAACTCATTATGGTACTTTTAAAAGTGATGTTTTTTCTATCTCACTACCTTACACCTTACACTCATTATATTCTGCTTAAGAAAAATTGTCTTTTCTTTACTTGGTGGATATCTGTTTTTCCCCTATCTATCGTTTTTTATTTGAACTGAAACAGATAAAGCCTTTAGTATTGTTAAGATACATGCTTATAAATCTGTAGTCATGACAGAGTTCTAGTTCCTACATGAGTTTGTAGGAATCTGCTAAAATGAGGAAGCAAGTCTTATTTTCAGAGTTGTTTTAGATATTAGCAAAACAGTTCTCTTGTCTATCCATCGCTCCATAAACATATTCTTCTTAGCACAGTGGGTTTAATTTTGCCAGTTTATCACTTTCTGTATCTCCTAATAAGAGTTGTTGTCATCATTCTTGTTTACCTTCACCTAAAGCCCTGATATTCTTAATCTGAAAAATAGCATATCTTTAAATTTGTCTATGTAAATGTTTCAGTTGTAAAAAATTTTTTAAATAAAAAAATTCCAAAAAAAAAAAAAAAAAAAAAAAAAAAAGATTTAAACATAAAAGAGAAGAAGACAGAGAAGTCTTATTTCTGTGACAAAAGAAATATATTTGGTTTTCATCTTGATCATGTCTCATGTTCGTGTCAACTTAAAAATGGTGCTTTGAGCACCTTTTGTCATGAGTCCTAACTTTCATGCTGAACCTAGTAGTCATTGGTTCCAGTTTTCAGTCAAGTGAGCTAAAAATTAAAACTAAATGTAATGATTTATGTTTTTGGTCTAGTGTCAGAACTTTTTAGTATACAAGTGCCATGTGAAGTAGGGTTGGGTTTTCTATCAATTACTGTTTTTTCAATAGAAGAAAGATCAGGTTGCTTACCAGAAACAATTAATGAGATGCTGTTCAGGATGTGATTCGCAAGCTGTAGTTTTATCCATAAGTTGGATATTTTGTGTAAATTAGATTCAATAAATTTTACTTTTTTTTAATCTTGATGTATGCTATTTCTTCTTAAAATGATCACCAAAGTGAAAACAATATTGAAAGTATGTGAATATATTTCAACATTCCTATGCTAATTTCCCAAGTAAA